AATACAGAAGCTATAACAGTTAAGCAAATGTTGAAATACCAGCTGGGGTTGTTATTTATCTTTATTTGAAACAACTTTAATTCTACCAGAAATAGGCCTTCTTTGCTAGTGCTTGTAACCGTTTGATGAACTGCTCTCATTTTAAAATCGTATTTAGGGTGACTGTAGGAGGTGTGACCTCGTGGCTATGGTGTGTTGCAGGTAATGTGGAAACACAGAGAGAATGACTGACCACCACTCAGTGTAGTGTGGACAGCGTCAAAGAGCTCGTAGTCAGAGCTAACCAGGCATGAGGAGCTACTGTCAGACTGTGTTTCTCCTCTGGAAAGATGGAGAGTGCGGTGGAGCTTTGTCAGCCAATGGAAACACATTTAAAGTCCTTTGAGAGTGTTCCTGTGCACGCACCTTAGTTGTACTATAGCTGAACTGCTTTTCAGACGAGAGTGGCTTTTCTGTGTTCTTGTTTGTAAGGCAGTGTCAGTACATGGCCACATAACACAATTTTGTGTCTTCATCAGCCCTAAATAATTTGTTATGCATTGGAAGTGCAGTGTTTACTTGTGTTTTTCTGGCTAGAACTGCTGAGTCAGCAGAAGACGATAAACTGAACAAACCAGTTTTAGAGCAGCGGGGTGTGGCAGTGGAAAGCTGGCAGATGTTGCTCGGAAACACAGACAGAGGGAGAGACCTCTATGTTCGTGAAGAGAATCTCTGAAGTTGCTTTACACTGATGACTTTTCATTGGGAAAGTTTTGAAGTAGGATTCAAAAACACTTCTCATCATTCCATATGAAAGCACTGTTTTCATTCACTTACTATTCTAGTGAGTGTTTTGGGGTCTTTTTGCATCTTTCTGAGCCTAGATTAAATGAGTCAATACAACAAAAGCAACACTTGCAGCACATTGAAAGCTCGAAAGGTATATTCATGCTTTTACATGCTTTTAAAACAGCTGCACGTCAGGTTGTATTGACAGTATTTTATGGTGCTCCCAAATAAGGCAGAGACAGACTAAATGAAAGCTGTGTTTCTGTTTTATAAAGAGAACGTCCTAAAGAGAACTGTTTAGTGTGACATAGCTGCTCTTGCACTGATGAAAATAGTGCTGTGAGATTCCACATTATTCTAAATTTACCATGCTAGCTCTAACATTACTGTTTTTTCACTCCTCTGATGCTTTTTGCATGTCCTTCATTTGTTTGTGTTGGGTAATATTTAAATAACGGCTTTTATGTGACAATTTGCAGTGTTTTAAAATATCTACACTCTCTTAGCAGATCCAAAACCCAGATGCGTTGTGGTGTTTTGAATATATACATTTTCACATATTATAGGGTTTTTAAAAGCAACCATTTGCATGCTTTCAGAACATTTTAGGGCCAGTTTGAGAGTACTTGCAGATAGTGAACGTGTATATATGCTATGACTGAGCAATGTAAAGGTCATGCCTGTGACTGAATGGCTTAAAGAGTGAAAGCGGATCCATGCCAAATTCGACATTGTGTGTCTGGGTACAGGTCATTAAGAGTTAATGACCAGCTGTCATGCTGTTGTCATTCACTGAGGTGGTTGTGCATTGATGCAGAACAAGCACATGCTGGATTTATGATCATATCATGGCAATTATTAAGGAGTTTATGTATGCATTTACTCGGGATTGTCACAACAGTGCAAGAGAGAAAGAGGTCAAAATCATTAAATATTACATATAATTACAAGCACCTCATTAACCCTAAACGAGCAGCCCGAGGTACACACTTGTGCTACCCCAGGCTACACTACCACATTAGTTCACAGCACAATGGAGCCATGGAACAGTCCTCTGTGCAAATAAATCTTTCCTGGACTTGAGAGTTGACTATTTAGACAAGCAGTTTACGGCATGATAAATCGAATTTCTTAGCTGCAACTAAAAAATGACCATAGTGCCGCAAAATAAACTACCTTCCTGCACACTTAAGATTGTATTTCCCCATTTTGCTTTAATTTTGTTTCATTACAGAAAAATAAGTGGCCAATATTTTGTTAAATTTTAAACTTTCTAGAAAAGCTATGTCTAGTTAGCATTTAGAAAGCTAGTGTTATATCATGTGATAGCAAGGTAATTTATAGTCATTTGAAAAGAAAAGTACACCACATGATTAAATAACTTGTGGAACCAACTTCATCAGCAATAACTTAAGTAATCTCTGTAAAATTACTGTACAACATCTTTACAATATCTGTAGAACATTGCTTAAGTTGATTTTGGTTTGCAGGCACTTGTTTATACAAATGTTTCTCAAGGGCCCACCTGGAGCTTTTGACTGGGTCAACACCTTGATTCTTTTCTTTTTCACCCATCCTGTTGTAGATTTGCTTGTGTGCTTGTAGTCATTGCGCTTTTGTTTGGCCCATTTTTCAATAAGCTTTAGCTGTCAGAAAAATGACCTCGCATTTGACTCTGGAATATTTTCACATATAGATGAGTTCAGTCGACCTAGTGACTGCAAGGTGCACAGGTCCTGTGGCTCAAGACAACCCTGTATTATCACCACTGTGCTTGACAGCTAGTATGAAGTGTTTGTTCTGATATGTGTTTGGTTTTCAGCAAGTGCGCGCTGTACATTATGGCCAACCATTTCTACTATGGACCCACCTGTCTAAAGGACATTGTTTCACAAGTCTTATGGGTTGATTAGGTTCAGCTTTATATATTTAAGCTGTGCTGCTGTGTTCTTTCTTATTAGCCTTCTTATTAAGAAATACTTGCTCAGTCTTTTTCTAATTGTACTGTTATGAAGCTTTTATAGAGTTGGTCACACTTGCTGACGATCAGTTAATCAACTGCTTTGATTAGCATCCAGCTGCTTCTTACTCTTAGTTTTTCGCTGGACTTCATATTCCTCACATTTGACTCTTCGCATTAGTTTCTTGAATTCTCCAGATTTCCAATATTAAAAGTTACATGGTGTGAAAATGCTTTAATTGTCAAGATCCAAAAGTATTCAGTTGTACAAACACTGTTCTTGCTGATGTCTCTTTTAGTGCATCTAACCACATTGCTCCACGCTATTCAAAGTCAATGTAGCACAAGGAATTTGGGGCTTAATGCACCCTGTCTCTATCAGAGAGTTACTTGTGTGTCCCACATACATACTAAAACCAACATCATTGTTTTTATATTTATAATGACCCAACAGAAAAATAAAGAATAGTCCATTTAAATGTTATTACAAAAACATATAAATAAAATCACTGCAAAACTGCTTTGTTTTTGTATATGTGCATAAAAGAGAAGATTAACAGTTGCTCAGAGACTCAATAAGAGACCAGTCAGTCTATGAAAGGATTTAATTTGCAAAGCAAGCATAACCAAAAGGCCCACAAGGCTTTACATACAACTATATCAGACGCATTGCCGTATCATTCTCTTAAAGCCGCCAGTGACATTCATGGTCCGTTTTCCTCTTTCACTGAAGGTGTCCATAGGAGCGCTTGATCTCATAGTCTATATCCAAGCTTTTAAGGCTTTAGCTTGAGGTTATGTGTTCAACCATGACAGCGTAGGCAGACAACCATGACACTGGAAGGCAGATAGCTTTAATCTTTTTTAAATTCCGCTGGTCATTAGTGAAAATAAAACAAGCTTTGCATGATTAAAATCTCTGAACAAAAATGTCATAGCTTACTAACACTGGCGATGTTCTTAATATTTTTATATAAAAACTGCCTCTGTGGTTCATAAAGTCACTGTAATCTTCCCATGATCAGTAACTGCTTTGTGATGTGGGCGGCATTGTCACAAGGCTGAGTAAAACAGTAATGCCGTAATCCAACAGGGCTGACTCATCGAGATGTGGATTAGGGTGCCGCTTCCCCAGAATTGAAACAAAGAGCAAGGACAAAAAAAATTCTCATCAGCAGAAAATCCATCAGCAGCAATTGGCCAGGTTTACCTTTTTCGTCTTAACTGAGATTTTAATTGTCTTTGGGAGACTTAATGTTAAACCACAAGTGGCCTAAATTAAAATAAAATAAAATAAAAAGAAGCATTTACGTCATTCTCTGGCCAAGAAAGATTATTCTATGAATACCATACTGTGATTAACATACTTATAATAAAACAGGAAGACAGGAATATTATTTAGAGTCATTATTGCAAAGATAAATTATAGCCCACCTTAGTTGACAGAAAAATCAGTACAAAATGCGGTTAGTACTCTATCTCTGAACTTCCTGCTCAAGTCCAACTGTTTACAGCCAGTTTCCTGTAAGAAGAAGGTGGGCTCTTAAGGTTTCTTGTGTGCAGTGAGATGCACTGATAATGGATTTTTCTTAAAAACAAAACAAAACACAGAAACAAAACAAAGTGATAAAAGAGAACCACGAAAAATCTAATTAATTGTCAGATTCTTATGTATTTTTTATTTATTCTACCATATATGGGTTTAATTGCCAAGATTGATAAGCTTAGGAAACTGGAAAATTTGATTATGTTCAAGATGAGAACTGCTGTCTTCACTTTACTTGGTTCTTTCAGATTCTGTTTTGTTGTGTTTAAGAAGTTGGCATGTTGACATATCTGTCCTACCACTTTTAGCCAGTGCAAACTACAATGGAAAAATAACATTTATCTTAATTTCCATTCTCTGGTAGCTACATGTGCAGGATCGTAATGTATTTACACTTAATCCCACCTACAGCCAAGTAGAAATGTAGTGGAAGCAACTGTCAAATAGCCAAAAGCTAAAAAAACAGAAGTCACCATTGCTCTCAGTTACTGAACTCAGTGGAAATGTGGTCAGTAATCCAAGACTGGATGGCTCATTTAGAACTTTGCTGGTCTTTGATGGATCTCCACCTCCTCCACGCCCTTACTTTCCACATATTGATGAATTATTGTACACTATAAAATCACCCCACAAGAACACAGCACAAGAACTGAAAAATTGTAAAAAGCACACACAGAACACAAAAAAACAGATAATGATGATGAATATTTTTGTTCTCTCACTCAGGCATAGCTGGCAACCCAGTGCTCTTCAATGAAAACGGAGATGCCCCTGGACGCTATGAGATCTACCAATACCAGATCAGAAACCGAACAGCCGAGTACAAAATTATTGGTCACTGGGCGGATCAACTCCATCTGAATGTGAGCACTGGCATTTTCTATTCTGTGTCCCCTACAACTTATGTTTGTGTCAGTGTTTGCAATGAAAATCCTCCGAAAGGTTACTTCAGCTCTGCAGCTGCATGCTAGATCTCTAACCCCTCTAAACCATTTCACAGTGCTCAGTTCTATCTTCAAAGGTGTAAATATCCAGGGGGCACTTTAAATGATTAACAGAATGGACTGTGATGAAAAGAAGGCCATGGGAGCTTACGGACAGACATATTTAATATCAGGCAGCAGACGGCATCACTGACTTCCAAAAACAATACTGTGGGCAGACAGTGTGATGAAGTAACAGTATTATAACAGTAAATTACATAAAGGACTCAAACAAATTATGTTTTCACAAAATGAAGAGGGGGGCCTTGGGCAGGCAAATGAGTTCAATTGAACACATGAGGCCGGCTGAGGGGAGCTCTGTCTTCTTCACCTCTTTCAGCACATGTTGTTGAAAGAGGTGAAGAAGACAAAGCTCCCCTAAAGGTAAGGTATTTGTAGGCACCTACTGTAAAATGTGCCATGTCTCATTTTGAAAGGCAGCAGTATTTAATTAGTGTTATTTGAGTTCTCAATTAAATACACATTTAAAGACAAATTTACTGGCTTTGAATGAACTGGCACAATTAAATAAAACCGATAACATTAAAGGGAGCAGACCTTGTTTCAAATGATGAATTTAATTTATCCTCCAAAGTGTGCTTAGGAAACCAGAAAATCCACAAAGGGGAATAATAGTTTGAAATGAGACATCTCTTTCTACTTTGATTGATTAATTTTTAACACAAAAAATTGCCAAAGCCAAAAAAAAAAAAAAAATACAGGAATTGTGCCATTAGTTCACTGCAGCACAAACATTGCGTTTCTCTTTTCCTCTCAGACTTGCCCTTCAGAAAAGTTGACTTACCACTGAAAAATTTTGCTGAATGTATGAGGAATACTTGAATAGTTTGCCTTTTTTCAACTTCTCACCCAGATAAATACAGAGAATCAAAAACACGAATTCTCCTTGGCTTCCAGAGCTTCTGATGACCATTTTGGATCAATAAAGCACCCTTTTGTACCTATCCCAGCTGTGTGCAATTCAGTGAGCTTTGTACACTAAAAATCTTTTCTCAGATGTTTCTTCTCTCTCTCTCTCTATTTGTCCATTCATCCCTTTCCACATTCCTCTGCCTCCCTCATAGGTTCGTTCAATGCAGTGGCCCGGTGGTGTCCGTCAGATCCCTTTCTCAATCTGCAGCCAGGCCTGTCGGCCTGGTGAGCGCAAGAAGATTGTGAAGGGCATCCCTTGCTGTTGGCACTGCGAACGCTGCGATGGCTATCAATACCAGGCAGACACCTACACGTGTAAGATGTGTCACTTTGATTTGAGGCCCAATGAGAATCACACAGGCTGCGTTCCAATCCCCATTGTTAAGCTGGAGTGGAGCTCTCCGTGGGCAGTCATCCCTGTGTTTGTTGCAGTCATTGGGATCATGGCCACTTTGTTTGTGGTGGTCACATTCGTTCGCTACAATGACACTCCAATTGTGAAAGCATCAGGCCGGGAGCTAAGCTATGTCCTGCTAACTGGCATTTTTCTCTGCTATGCCACAACGTTCCTGATGATCTCTGCCCCTGATGTCGTAATCTGCTCCCTTCGTCGGATCTTCTTGGGTCTGGGAATGAGCATTAGTTATGCTGCTCTGCTTACCAAAACCAATCGTATTTACCGCATCTTCGAGCAGGGTAGTATGTCTGTGAGCGCACCAAAGTTCATTTCTCCAGCCTCACAGCTAGTCATCACGTTCACCCTGGCCTCGGTGCAGCTGGTCGGGGTGTGCATCTGGTTTGTTGTGGATCCCTCCAAAGCTATTATTGACTATGAGGACCAGAGAACCTCTAACCCAGCGCTAGCTCGTGGTGTGCTCAAGTGTGACATCTCTGACCTGTCCCTCATCTGCCTGCTTGGCTATAGTATGCTGCTCATGGTCACCTGCACAGTGTATGCCATTAAAACCAGAGGGGTGCCGGAGACCTTCAATGAGGCCAAACCAATTGGTTTTACTATGTACACCACCTGCATTATTTGGCTAGCATTCATCCCAATCTTCTTTGGCACATCACAATCAACAGAAAAGGTAAGCTTACAACCAACACTGGAGTGCAATTTGCATTTTTTGTCTGTCAGTTTCTTTTAAGAAATGCTTAGACATGCAGCTACACAAATCTTTAACACCTATTAGCATGGCTTTTGGCATTCTTATATTTCTTGACATTTACTTAGAAGACAAAAATAAACTCACAAATAATTGTACGCTGGTGACCATGTAAAGCAGAAGTAGTCTTATCATAACAAACAGATAGCGGGTTTACAGACTGACTTCAACCAGTATTACCTGGTTTCCCTATTTTCTTTTAACAATTGTCTTTATCTTGCTTTAGTAGAATATCACAATTATCAAGAAAGACATGAAACAAAGATTATAGGAAAGATTTTCTCTACTGCTCTATCCAGTTATTCAACCTCTTGTGGGTGGTGGGGTGACCATTGGGTTAAGCCTTCCTGCAGTATTAAGCATTTATAATTGGATCCACCAAGTCTGCTGAATTAAAGTGCTATTTGAATGTTAAATATGTATCTAATTATAATGAAAATGCTAAATTATGGTTATACTCAGTTTTCCTTACTGCTGTTCTGTAATTTTTAAACATTTTGTGAAGTACCAGTAATTATAAAAACCAAGAACTTAAAAAGAGGATGCTTGTGAATACAGAATCTGCAACGTGTACACATAAAGTAATGTAAATGTTTCTGTAATAACTCTGAAGGCAACTCACAAGCCTGTGACTCACATATATGTGACAGCTCTATGCCACAGTGCATTAGGGAACCATGAGCTGTTTACATAAACACAAACTCACACTCTTATTCCCATGTCAAATCAATGTGCCCGACCTCTTGAACCATAGACCTGGACTGTGTTCAGCAGGAGCACTGAGGTCAAGAGGGATCCAAATGGGACATGGAAATGAAGGTTGGGCTTGGACCTCACATTCAGAGGAGAAAGTCTGGGGACAAAGCCAAAGGGGTACAACAATGACACAATAGCAATGTGTTGATGCAGTTGAAAGAGGTGTTTTGGCAGTGTAACAAAAGGGGCTCGATGGCTACAAGAGAGGGCAGTGGTGAGGCAAAAAAACAAAAAAGCCCTAAAACTGGCACGGACACTATCAGCAGTGCCAGCATGGGTCTGACAGATGCAACAAATTAATCCTTACCTTCTTCCATTTGGGATTAAACAAAACAATGCATCAAAATGCTGGCCTGGAAACTGGCTGTGATAGTTAGCTTGGTGGGAAGAAAAGTGTGTATTGTGGTTCAGAGCACACCCCCGCCCCCTCCCAATTTCTGTAGTTTGCGGCATTGCAGAAAATCTGCATATGACTGTAGCCAATTGTATTATATTTATGCATTATGTGATCGGCAGTACAATGACTTATTTTCATATGCTGCATGTTGCATTAATACTATGAAGTCCAAGCTACAGGCTGTCTCTTACCCCAAATGTTAACTAGCATGAACAGAAAAAGTGCAGACAACAGTATTTAGTTGCTGAAAACTGAGAGACCAGTTGAGTTTCACACATATTGCTTGATTAATGTTACATTTCCTCAATATAGTCAGAAGGGGAAAAAAAAACATCAGCTGTCATCACTATACATTTTTCATTATCATACACGTAGCATACATAGTAAAGAAGAATTGGTCCAAGTGCAAAGCCCACATTATTTTTTAATGTGAGTGTTGCACATCTGAAGTCGCACGTCAACACCAGCCACGGAGATCAGCGAGTTCTTTGTTTAATCATTCCATCTCCTCTCTCTGAAGATGAAAGAGAATTATACAATCACAGAGAGATTGAACAGCTTTTTTAGAGGATGAGGTAATCCATTAGCTAGCCTGGCTTTGAATAGTAAAATAGAAGTGAAAAAAAATCTTTGAAGGGTATGTGAAGTCCTACTTTTTGTTCCTTACCTCAGATGAATTTAATTTACAAACCCTGAAAACTTTTCTCAGCCAGTCTTAATATAAAACACGTTTCTTGATCTAAATTACATGAGTCACTTATTAATTATTATTTCCTGTGGAAAACTGTACACACTATGGCTGGAGGACAGTTTTACTTTTATCATTTAGAAAACTTTTACTTTGGCCCCAAGCTATGTTAAGGTAAAACACAAAATGGAACACAAAATGGAAGTTTAGCTTCAGGGAAATGTCCTACATTTTTTTTCTTTCCTCATTTGAGAGAGAATAATCATATTTAATATATAACCCAAAAGGGCCTTTGAGTGTTGAGTCTGAAAAACTTAATTTAAGTTACTCTCCAATATGGTTTATAGCTTTGTCAGACCACACAGCATACTGCTACTGCAAATGTTTTTTTGGTTTCTTTTTTTTTTTTTTTTTTACCAAGCACTTAGAAATAATGGGAACAAAGACCAGATGTAACTTAATGAATCAGAATGAGTTTTGTCCCTTGAGAGCAAGAGCCAGTATTAAGATATTGCTGTAGAAAAATACATCAAAGTCTTAAGAAGGCAGAGGTCAAAGCAGATGAATGTCCACAGGACATGGAAACATTGGTTTCTTGTAACGAATGCTACATCCACACTAGCCTGGATAGATTTGAAAAGGCGTTTT